CTGCTCAGTGTGTGCAGTGCACTGTGTATGTTGTGGGTCTGATTCTCAGCTACTGCTCAGTGTGTGCAGTGCACTGTGTATGTTGTGGGTCTGATTCTCAGCTACTGCTCTGTATGTGCATGCAGCTTAAATTAACTGCAGTGTTTCCCCTACCATTATATTAGGGGGGCGCCTCGCCCCCCAACGGCACCTCCCGCCCCCTTTGAAGGTCAAGTAAATTTTATTTGATTTTATTTTCTATATAGCGCCAGATCACAACAGAAGTAATTTAAGGTTACATTTCCTATAGAACAGGTCTATACAGTCCTTTTATTAAACAAACTAAATAGCCTTATGTTATTTATCTTATTTACACAACAGCTTGTCATTCTTGTTTCTACACGGTCGCGCGTTTACAATTCCCCTCTGCTCTCTGTATCGCGCAAGGCGGAGTTCCGCTCCGATGCGCGCGCGCGCACACACAGGTGAGCAGACTGAGCACACTCCCACCAGCGGACAGAGAGCGCGCGTCGGAAAATATGTCGCGTCAACCACCTGAAAAGCAGACAAAAATATCTGCTCCGGTCAGCAGTGTAAACTGTGAGAGGGACTTCTCAACCATGAACAGGGTAATAAATACGTTTCACAATGGAATTTTCTGCTTTAAACTACCACTATTTTAAGCTATCAGCTATCACTTTTAAAGCCCAACAGTTAATGTATAGGTAAAGACAAACATCCGCAATAGGCTGCAAGGAGACCATCTTGCAGCCTGCATGCGGATCTCAATAAATGGGTCAGACGTTTCTGACTCCTCATATCAAGAGGCTCTAGAAATGTTCTTCCAGAAGCCCAGAAAGATACACTGCAGTGACAAAAGCTGCACACTTTGTGGATAATTGTAATAAAAAGAAATGTTCTGATGTTTAGTTCACTTGTTATATTGACTGCTGTCATTAAAAGAAGCACATGAACACCATGAATCCTGTCGGTGCCCTTCTGCCCCCCCCCCCAAAAAAAAGCTGTAAACCTGGGGGAAACACTGAACTGATAACTTTAAAAAGGTTCTACAGGGTATTGCAGATCAGAGAGTACTGTTGTCAGAGGTAAGCCAGGATACTGGGGCAACAGCACAGAAAAACACCCCCCCCCCTCACCCACCCCCAGGCTACATCCAGCTATAGAAGGACAATGATAAGCCAATAAGATATGAGCAATGTGCAGTACAAGAAAAATGCACTGAACTCACAAGAGAGCTGTTAGTTTACTTTTCAGTAAATCGCTTTGCTTTGAACTGGGCTGAGCAGGCATGCCAGTCTGCTGGGTTTAAATGCTAATTCATTTAATAGCATAATTGCCTAAGGGCGTTTCTTCAATTCATCATTTCACTCTTATCGACTCTTAGTGATTAATTTCCTCATAATTTCTCCCCATATTCACCTTTCATTTGTATCTTTCTGCACTTAAGTGAAACACAGTCAGACCTTCTCTGTTTTTAGGCCCTAACGGGAGAGCCTCTGTACTGTTCAGAAAAGCACTTCGTGCCATAAGGAACTGCTTCCAAGTTTTCACTTACCCTCGTTTGCCTTAAAAATTAAATTTCATTTTAGCTTTAGCTCAGTGTGAGTCTGACAGGCTCTTTTGTGCGTTGAAAGTGCTCCCTTCGTATGGAATCGACAGAGCAGGCTGCCAACCTCAGAGAGAGTAACCAGAAGCTAAACAAAATTACGGATAGTGAGAACTTTTCGAATCCTCTCATAGGTAATTGGAATGCTTGCCAAAAGCACAACCCTCAGGGTATCAGATGAGAGGCTGCCTTTGTCACAGTTCCAAAAGAAAAGGTTTTTTTCATCATATTTCCTGGTCTTAGTGCTTGTATTGGCAATTCCATTCTTCGTAGGGGTATAACAAAAGCGATTCAATTCATTTGGTCCAAGTGTACACAGGATGGCTGCATTTCAAAACCCCAATTCAGGATTTAAAACCAGTGAAGTGGCCACAAATCGAAGTCGTATCACTATTACCACATATTATGATCACCTTAAGTTACCAACTATTTCAAAAGATTTTTTGCGGTGCAAAATAAATATAGTGATTGTTTTGAAAAAAGAAATGCTTCAAAATATGTACTTGATATCCAATCAGTCCTGAATCAGATCCTGTTGAATCTTTGCTGAATCAAAGTATATTGAACCGTTAGATATTTAACTGTATTTTTTGTATTGTATTTTAGACTATGGATCATATCACCTGCAAGGGAGAGATTCGGGCCTTCTTTGGATATGAGCCATGTATAGTATAGCATTCAGTCATTTTTTAATGCTGGGTAAATGTTATTAATGTTGAATTAAAAGTGCCAATACTAGTGTAGAATCACCTGGATTTTAATTGAAAACCAATAGGAGTAGTGTACAGTCAGTCACTAAGACTAATGTAACAATCAATCAAACTAGAGAGACCAGATGAACTCTTGTAGTGTAGAAAGTGTGACCTCAGTGAGGAAGTGAAGCACCTGTACACACATACTCAGCTGTGATTGGTTCTTTGCGACGCACACTTAATTCACAGGCCATGTGACCTGTAACAGAGCTGAACATTGTTCTTATTGTCCATAATTTCTGGATCCCAAAGATCCCATGGGCACCCAAAGGGACTTGACAATGGGGAGACATTTTCGGACACAGGGTTTACAGTCAGCGTCCAGGAAAACAAAAACCCATACAGCAACCGGAAGGAGCCCATGGTGAGCTCAGTCTCTCTGGAGTCTGCACGGGCCACCGCCACCAAAACAGCCCTGCTGAGCAGCTGAGAAGCTGCAACGTTTTTCATCTCTGTTGGGAGGAACTGTGTCCTGAAAGCGCTCACGAGGGCTTTCCGCATGTAACTGCGCAGCGAGAAAAGTCTATTAGTCCTGAGGAGGTAATTAGGGTGAAATGAGAAGACAGAAGTCCCATTTGTGCCAGTTAGCCACACAAGACTTTTTGACCATTAAATAAATCATGAACAAATCTGCACATCCACGAGTTTTCTGTAATCTCCCAGCTTCCAGGCTTTTTAGTAAAAACATCTAATGGATGAAGCTCAGAGTCAAGAAAACATACATTATTAAAGAGAAAGTTATAAGGGTGTGTTGGGGGGGGGGGGGGTCCCAGGGACATATGAGAAGCAGCCATTCAGATCCTGCATTTGCTTGGCCACCTCCAACGCAGATTCCCATCGGTGTTCAGATAAGCATTTCTCCTCCAACCAGTAGAACTGGCCTGTTCGTTAATGACGGCAGCAGTACCAATACAAACACAACTGTAGGTGCATACGGTTGAATCTTTGGGGAGGGGGTGGGGGTGCAATCTGAAATCACTGCCAAGGCTGACGGACGACAGGAAATCTGAAAGACCATGAACCTAAAAGGTGACAGAACATTAGTCAGCCCGGGCGCCATAGGATGGCCGCCTATGTTGATCATAGCAATGGTGGTGGGGGGGGGGGGGGGGCACTGGTGCACGGCCTTGTGATACAGATGGCAGTTCAACATAAAAACAGCCAGTTAGTCATACGATGTGAAATCGTTCAATGTATCATAGGTTATTGTAAGAAATGAGCCGTGTGACGCTGAAAACCATGGAGCTGCTTCCGCCAGCGAGCTCCATTAGCAAATGACAGACTCAGCATTTGTAATCTCAGGAAATATGCAGCGATTCCAGCAGATTCCTATGGCGCTCAGCATCAGGGCCTCACTTCCTTGTGACTCACTGTTTTGGGTTTAAAAGCACCACCCCCACCTCGAGTCTGTGGTGATTTCACCTGAAAAATAACAGGGACATTGCCCCCCCCCATTCCACTCATTAGACAGCAGCCAGTCTCTGCCAAACCCACACTAATACCTGAACGAGACCCAAGATCCATTAAACATCACAAACAAACCTTCTCTAGCTCATTAGAAAATGCCACATTCTTCTACCTTGCTGTTTTTTCAGCTGCTTATTTACAGATTTCAGCTTCAGAGCACGTAGCTTTATTAAGAAATACAGATCTCTGTACTGCTCCCATTTCTACAGCCACCTAGTAAAAAACATGACATATTAAGTACTCTGGCACAGAGGTTCAGCTGCACTTTTTAAGCTCCGCCTCCTTTTGACGACGAAATTAAATGCCCCAGATGAAGTCTCGTAATTGAAGTCCCTGTATCTGCCTCTGTCTGTCATACTGTCTGCTGTTTATCGACTTCCATTCTCCTTGGGTTCTGCTCTGATAGAGGCTGTCATTTCTGGTGCAGGTAGAGTCTGTATGCAGCAGCAGTGAGGACGTCTCACTTGTGGCTTCACCGCACGTCCCGGTGAATCCTGGCAGGATGTACGAGTGGTGAATGCCAGTCATGATGGATCTGGTTTGTGACGGAGACCCTGTCCCTGAAAAGCCACAGACATTTGACAGGTTTGCTCTTGCTCCTTTATCATTTGATACAAAATACAACAATGTCCTGTCCCTCAATAGACAGCAGTATCCGGTTCCCAGGATACAGTTAAGGAGAGCAGGTGGGTTACACCGGCCCTAGACGCTGCCTTCCTGATGCACCGTAACACTGCAGCCCTGGACCCCTTAATTCATCTTTTCCCTTGACTCTTTAACCTTCTCAGCTAGTTGGTTTTAAAAACACTAATTCTCAGCTGAAGACTGACACAATCAATAAGGCTGGAAAAATGCTGGCAAGGACGGCACTAGACGGGCTTAATTAACACCACTTGCTTCTCGTCGGATTTGCCACTAATCCTTTTTGAAGAGACGCTCACATTTCATCTGTGCCCAGCCCCGTGACCCAGGAGACCATGTGACCCTGAAACCGAGGTTCCAGGCAGTCATGTGACATTAAAAGCATCCCGCCCCTGTGGGCTACAATTAGCCCTTTGTACGTTAAACTTTTTAACAGACCTTGTAACAAAATTATTAAATGTCAGAACACTAAGTGTATTGATTACCCACCAAATAGAGAGATCTCTAAATAACAGGACTGTGTTCTGGGCTTTAATTGTTCCTTTTAAAGAAAATCCACTCTCTGCTGAAGAGATATACATTTTGCCTCCCATCAAAAGCAGAACAGTCACGTCACTCGCTGTCAGTCATTTAGAGGCTTGTTTTTCCACACAGATCGGGGGAGTGGGAGGAGGGAATCCTTGAGAACTGTAGTATGGAAGCAAGTGAGTGACGTGACAAGAGAGGTGGAGCATGCAAACACCAATCACAGCCAAGTCCTGGTCTCATGACAGTATGTGATTGGATCATTTCAGGTGATAGGCTTTGTTCAAGGGTAAATTAATAATTCCCTGCTGGGACAAATTTTCATCCTTAACCTGCTGTGCTGCTGTTGCCGTTACCCGTTATTCCAGCATTCCAAGTTTTTTTTTTTTTTTAGAAATACACAAAAGAAAAAAAAAACTTAAAAAAGTAGCACAGTAATGCAGCCCTGTGCCCAGGAGTAGTGGGTCCTTGGCTATTTGGCCCAGCTAATGTAGGCACATGCCAGGGGCGGGGATAGGGGCGTGGGGGCGTTGTGCAGAATCAGCCAATCCTGTCCCATTGCTGGCATCAGCAGGAATGCCAGCCAATCACATTCACTCACTTTCAGAAACACTCACACGAAAGTTATAAACACTCCCATAATATTAGCTATTTATAAAATGACACCTTGACTATTATACGCTGTTATATTTTTAGGTATTATTTTTATTACTGGTGTGGGTAAGGAGTCCGCGTCTGTCTTCGGAAAGGTTGCCAGCGCAGTTATCATATCCCTGTTGGGCCCTTGAACAATGTCTTAACCCCAACTGCTCCAGATTAACAGGTGAGCCTGCGCTCTGTACGCAGCTGTATATGTACGAGCCTCTGAGAGGAAAGCAAGCTGGGACATGCAAAGAGATTTTGTTGTGCTTGGGTACCTGCAGAACGACAATAAACACATTCATTCATTCATTCCATTAAGGCGGCAAACTCTGAATGAAGCCAGACCCTGGCTGTTGATTAACATCTCTCTACACGTGCAGAATAAAACCAGGAAGCAGAGAAAAGTCATGCAGCACTAAGTACACCAGCATCCCCTCATTTTACTGCCGTCTGGGGAGCGATTGTGAGGACACAGTCTGTTCTACACCATGGACATCATTTGTTACTGCAGTAAAATATATTAACACCCGCTCTGTCTTATAATATCCCAGCCCTCCCTGCAAGGGGTGCTGTCAGAGGGGCGGACGGACGTTATTTCAACCATAGCCATTTAAAATGGCATTTTTTGAAACCCCCCCCAAGGGTTCCGTTAGCTTTTTATCATGTGATAATCTCTAATTGTAAATAGATCAAAGATTGTATCACAACTTCTGACATTTCATTTCATTCCATATTTGGCTCTTTTTTTCCCCAGTAGGATAATTCCGTGAGCCTATACTGGACAAGCAGTTGGAGGACGGATCAGTGATAATTTGGTTTAAATAAATTAATGTTTCCAAAAAACAATTCCCTGTTCCGGGCCTTTTCATAGTATATGAGCAGGGAATCGTCAGCCTGTCTGTGGCAAATTTAAAAACTGTATGTTATGTATTTAAATACCATGTCCGCAGTCAAAATTGCATTTTGACCAAAATGAATGTCTGAGTTCACCATGGTGTTGACTGCTGTATATGTGTAATACAATTACAGCATTTGGCTCCATTTATCAGTTTCCAGCAACTGCTCGTCCTGTCGTGTCGATCCAGAGTTCATTCCAGAAAGCAGGTAGGAACAAGGCCGCTTGCATCCAGGACAGGATGTCTTTTCAGGGGAAACCGTGTTAATCACCCTCCCTGGCAGATATAATACCAAACCGAGCCCAGCACTTCTTCAGTAAAGGAGAGTCAGAGTGGATCAATATGAACCGTGTAACACGAGACACTAATGAGTTTCCCTGACGTAGGATTTCTTGTGGTGCTGCCTGACGTGTTTGATAATGAGGCAGGCATGTACTCAAGGGCATGTAAGAGCAGAGAAGGAGAGGGAGGGACATTACGCTGAGCCACCACAGGCTACAGACGCTCAGGAACCCAGCCCAGCCCGGCGCGAGTCAGACTGCGTTAGAGTCAATTAAGCATCGGTCAGTTGAGTGTGCGTCGGAAACGATAAGAAACACACACAATCGGAGGAGAGGAGAGAGAGCGAGCTAGAGATGGAAGGGAGGTCTGGGGGGGGGCAGAGGACAATGTGGAGAGAGACACGGTCAGATGAATAAATCACTAGGTAATGAGGCCATGTTTCTGTTTTATATCACATTAAAGTAATGGAGGCGACCGTCACATGCTGGCCGGCTGATTCTTCACAGAGGCGTCCCGACTTCAGAAGTGTATGCTTCATGGCCTCTGAAACGCAGCTTACATGGCAGGCTGGCAGAAAGGGGCTGCACAGAAATGTCTTCGCTTTGTTGGCTGTTTCTGTGTCATTGTGACGGGATGTGAGACTGGTCTGAGACCAGCCGATGCTAGACTCTGGTGCGAGCGGTTTTATTGACAACAAAAGAAATCACAGGGAAGTACTCTAAAACAAGGCAGGGCGCTTGGGTCTCGAGTCAGCCCAGTCAGCACTTCACGCTCTTCGCGGTCTTTTTTTGGCCAGAGAGGGACTGTAGCTGGGCGGCTTGATGAGCTGCCAGCCAGTGGCAGTTGTGGCTTCTGCGTGGCAATGCTCAGCACTTCCGACTGCGGCTGGCACAATACCGATGCCCTCGTGGCCGTACTGTTACAGTCACCCACCTACACGCTAGCCTAGATCACTGACCTCCAGGATCCCAAAACATATTTAGTCCAGGGGGAGATGTGGGGCAGGGGCAGGTGGTCCTGATGGTGCTGTTCATGGGAGAGAGAAGATCAATATGGCCTCACGTCAGCACTGGGAAGCAGGGCATGTGGCAGGTGGTCGTGGATTATAACGACAAGTCGTAGAAACACACATCCAGGTTCAGGATATTGGGGTTTGCTATTCCAGAACTTGCACTCGTGTGATTGTGATATCACTGGTACATAAACACACAGAACAAATTCCATTAAAAAGAAACAGATACATTCAAAGAGAAGTATTAAGGTTCTCTCAATGTTAATTATTTTAATTGATGTTCTTATGTATGTATTCATTCATTCCAAATTAGGGCTGGCGGGTAATCCAAAGCACAAACTTAACAAACAAGCCATCGATTTGATCTCAATGTCCTGACCCACAGTAAGTCTCATGTCTCTTAATGCAGGAGCCAGAATGATGACCAGTCTGTCTCAGCCAAGATCCTGATGTATCTTTCCGTGAGGCCATCTGCAGCCATCATGCTGAATATAATTAGCTAATTAAAAATCCACACTTTCCCACTGTAACTCGCTTTGCCGCATTTCACTGCTAAGTCCCTGCTGACAACTCTACTGTGACTATGACTAATGTTAACGACGTTTAGCCTCCTCTCCAGTCTAGGTAGACCAGTTACCACAGTCATCCTTTATCCTGTAGAACATTTATGAATGGGACACTGTGAATCTTTTGGAGACGTATCTACTGAATGGTAAAGACAGGAATGGATGACATATTTACTCACGCCTAAACGCCTAAAACAGGATAAGATGACTGATATTGTTCATTATGTTTAGTACTTACTGTGTATATGCTATTCTTGACACACAATGTACACTGCATAACATTCAGAAATCTCTTTGGTTATGCACTAACTGTAATGTAAAATGTCTGCCTCAGCCACACTGAGAAATTATACTTCACAGCTTAGTATGTCGTACTGTATCCCAGTTTTTGTTACATGCTGAATTTTGTAATCACCACTTAGAGATCTCACTATTTAGTGCACTGTCTCACTTTGGCCACAACTAGTTTGTATACCTAGAGTATGTATATTTACTGTTTGCAGAAGGGTTGTTGTTATTACCCGATACTTGTATTTTATTTTATGTTTACTTTATCTAATTATTCAGTGTTTATTGTCTTGTTTGTTTTGGAGCGAAACGTAGAGTCAAATTCCTTGTAAGTGTCACCTTACTTGGCCAATAAAACTGATCCTGATTCTGAAATGGTCTGCCTAGGGGACAGTTTGCCTCTACAATCTCTTGAGCATCCATTACATGTTGCATTATGACTCTAGGTGCGTTTGAAGGTGCATACTTGTTTCCTGTGTAGTATGCGAAACATAGGTGAACATCAGCGTGATTTAAACAGTCTGAAGAACGTCACTCACTTGGAAATTTTTGTCAAGATGGCAGAGGAAGGGCCATCTATACAAATTTAAGTAGATAACAATACCTAGTTACATAAGTTGACTCGATTGCGTATTTTTTTCTTTGATAGCTTTTAACAGTATTTAACTTTCGCGGTGGGTTAAGCTACGTCGTTGGTCAACATTCGTAGTCTGGTAATATGCAGTATTACTGCAGTATATGTCCAAGTGTATGCGTACTGTTCTCATGCAGACATGCAGTACACATTGCATTAATGATCAAGCAGTAGGTCTCTAACGAAATTCAGTACCTACTGTGTAAGCATGCAATTCCAGACCCTGCCTCTGTGTCCCTTTGCTTTGATTCGCGGTGACATACGAGAATTACAATTTCAAAATCTGATGAAATTATGGAAAACACCACAGACCAGGATGGCTGCGTGGCCAGAAGAGTGTCCCCTCTCACACAGACACACTTGTTTGTGTATATCTTTGTGGGAACTGTCCATTCACATCTATGAGCAAAACCCTAATCCCAACTTTAACCCGTACCCAGTCCTAACCCTAACCATAAGTAATCAAACAAAAGGCTTTTTTAGTTTTTTTGATTGCAGTCACAGATTTGTATGAAGTTGAATTTCCAGTTGTGTGTGTGTGTGTGTGGGGGGGGGGGCACTGTTAGCATGGAAGGCAGGTTTCTGCTGTTCCGTGTGTCGTCACACAGCCCCAAAGCGTCACAGGGCAAAAACCCAAGTGCAAATGCGTTGGGATGGGCGGGGAGACGATGTGTACACCCCCAATATTTAATTTGGCTTCATTCATTCCCCCCCTAAATAGACTTTTGTACTTAAATTATTAAGTACTACACCCACCTCCCCCCCCACATCAAATTCCCTCCTTCTCCATTGCCCACATGGTTTTAAAGAACAACTGTCCAAAATGTGGCATTTCTCCCGCAGCCAGTATAAAAGTGGGTAGAGATCCCCTTCTTTACCCCCACTGTTTAAACATTGACTCAGGCATCTCAGCCAAATGAATTTTTTAAGCGATCTCGGAATCGGAAACACTGGGAAGCTGAGCCAATCGAAAGTGTCTGGCTTCAGCCAAGGGCGCATTTTAATTGGCTGTCCCTCGGCGTGTGAGGAGTTACATAAAACACACCATCGGAATTGCTTAGCAGCGTGTCGCCCTCCCCGGAATTAGCTGCCTCTCCGACCCCAAGGGCCATGTGTCCAACGCTGGGCAGAGGAAGCAGGGCACAGTTATGGTGCTGCACCCCAAATCAGGAACTCCAAATCCCTGTTCGTGGCTGGTGCTTCAATTCCCTAATTCTCCCGGTTCCCGAATTTACTGAAGCCCCTCCCAGGCCAGCAGCACAGCATACAGCAGGGGTATAGTACTGGGTATACGTAGGTATATGGTGTATATCCACCTCTAAGAAATGGGTTGACCATATACCCACTTAAAAATGATAAGAAATGCTTATCAATCAGAGGAAAAGTATGTATATGCAATTATATGGTATAACAGTGTACCCACCTACCAAGACACCACTACACCACTGGTATACAGTGCTTGTCTTGATAGGTGTAGTATTCACTGTGTCAGTCTCACACCACACAACCCAGTTAGCGCCACACTGCAGACTTCCCAGGTCTCCACACATCCATATTCAACTGACCTCTGATGCCAGTGCTTAACTGGCCCATAAATTATCATGCATTATGACCCATCACCCAGCACCCGGTGGCAGCACTGCTCTGACCTGGGCCGGAAAACCGTGAACCTCAATGTCCACCTATATGGCTGCCCCCCCCCCCCCGGATCTGTAGGCTTATTTCAATCAAAAACAACAGGGGGCACACGCACACATGTTAGCGGAGACTCGAAAGGATCTGGGCTAATTGATCAGACCGTTGAAAGTTCACGGCTGGTCATCTTAGCAGCAAGAAAACAAACTGGATTGGTAACCCCAAAGTCCAGGCGGATTTCATTTAACCTCTGACCTCTCTGCCAGGCCAACCCAGGATGCTTTGCTCTCTGGCTGTCACATGACCGCCTCAGCACCTCAAGCATTCCCACAGAGGACGTCAGTGTGGTGTCAGCCAGCCCATGCAAGTACACCCACTGGCCCATAACCGGCTTGGCTGAGCAACTCTGCTGATAACTATTAGTCCCCTTGAACATACGAGGTCATTAAACACAGCAGGCTGATTTATCACCATCTCCGACCCCGGCAGCGACACGGACCGGCGCTACACAGCGCGGCCAGGAAACCGGCAATGCTGCAGATATCACAGCATCCTCTTCACGATATACATCATCTGAAAACACTGTATAATATATGCACATAAATAAGCACAAATATTTATTTCCTCTGGATATCACTGTACAGTCCAAGAGGCATTTACAAAAAATACCCTTTTGATTATGATTAAAAATCCACCATCCATCTCCTTCCTGCTCTCCACCCATTAGGTCAGTGGTGAGTGGCCCTCTGAACCGGATTTATCCGGAATAAACCAGATGGAGGCATAGGACACTGGTGGGACGGCAGAGCTGGTGGCTCTGGGGAGTCACAGCGTGACGAGCTGTTTCTCACATGCCACCCTCCACCCTGTGACCCGCTGGTTCAGCACCGTCATCTTCTCAGTCGCACCCTCCTCAGAAAAAACTTCCCTGCTCGCAAATTCAGCCATGCTTCGATACCTTCAAAGGCGTCTCTCTCTAACTGACTTTCTACTTGTGCTTCCCTGTGATCTTCCTCCATCTTGACCTTAGGTGACCCCTCATGCACAGGCCGGTTAGCCAGCATGAGCCGTCGTGGAGTCGGACAGGATTTCCGATTTGCATCACAGATTTCACCCTCCGTTCGAGCGCTTTTCCAACTTCCCGCCCTCAGGTTCCGACAGCTTGGCCGCTTCTCGTCTTTGCAGCTAACCTAGTTCCTGAATAATTGCGATCACTGGGGGATCGATGAACGAATCGGGCGCAAACTGCCACCAGTCAGAAGCCGCGAAGCCAATTTTAAAAAGACATCGGGGTTACATCCGATTTTCTGGGAGAGCCCTGCTCAGCACTGATAGTCTTCAGCAGAATGGACTACGCATCCCTCGTGGCTTCGCTTCCATTTTTTGAACTCTGGCTAGGCAAAGAAAATAGAAAAAAATGCTTGTATTGTGTTCACTATAATTCCTGCTTAGACCGGAAAATGAGGTAGTGCAAGATGGGAGAGCCTGATTGGCTGAGCCGGTGAGTCTCTGCATAAATCAACACCCCAGCACAGAGTTCTCTGTGTCCTCTGTCTGTGTTTAGGGTGGTCTTCTCTCTCAACCCGCAGCCGTTACCTCCTTCTGCTAGTTGCTGCTTTCGGGACAGAAGTATATAGGCTCAGACCACCGATTAAAACCACAAATCAGAATTTGTTATTCTGCTAAAGGCCAGCTCAGTTCTTTCAGATGAGTGTAATATATATAAAGACCTGGAATGGCTTTTCGCCTGTTTCTCCAATGAAGAGACCCAGCTTCCTAAGCAGAGATTTTCATCACACTGTGAAAATATTTCATTTTCTAATTTAACTTTTCCTTTTTATTCAGGCCACGAAATGTGATGTCCAACAAGAAACGGATGAATCGTCGTACTTTAATCCACTCCCCGGAATATTCCTCCAAACATGCGATGTGTGGGAACGGCGAAAAAATGAGTTTGCCAGAATTCTGAGAACTTGCCGCGACCGGGCACCTTCCAGAATATCCAATCAGCCGTTAAATTGTGATTAGAGAACGTTCACCCAACCGTAAAATTGTTACACTAGGGGGCAGGTAGGGCGTGAGCTCTACACAAAATTACAAGGAAGCACACGGGTCTAGATTCTGATTCTGAATCACTCCTTGACTGACAGGAACAGGTCGGGCCTGCAGAGCTACAGATGTGTGTGTTTGGGGCATAAATCATGTATGCAGCACCACTATCCAGATTTATTGCGCAGCTGCTGTAACTGGGAGCAGATCCGCCAATATGAATGACATGGGGCTTCTGTGACTAGGGTGCTGTGGGGTCCCGCAGCTCTGTTCTACCCATGCAGCCTATTAGCAGAAAGCTAGCAAGTGCTAACTCACATTTCCTCTGTTAAACATTAATCAGGTAGAATATTGTTTACAGGGGTATTGATTTCCCCCAGCACAGTACTTCACAGAGCAAATTGAAAACTATTTTGTAGCTATTTATCTCTTGCAGTCTTTGTTGGCTGTGCGCTAAATAACTTAATAAGCCTTTGTGGTTCCAGTGTAGAAAATAATCTGGGCATTGTTTAATGAAATAATTGATCGATTGATTGGCTAATTGATTTGATTATGAAATGGACCCCCCCACCCACACCCCCCTGGCCCTCCTTGAGCAAAGAGCTGTACCAGCTCACTCTCCCCGATTAAATGGCTTGCAAAAACTCCTACCTCGGGCTGCCTTGCTGTGCTGCAGCTCAGACTCACACAAATTTGCTGTTTTCAGGTTCAGCTGCCGGGGAAATGAGGAGGGCCAGACGAACCAGGCTGCTTCAGACATTCCGCCGGGGAGAGGAATAAATAAAATAAATTCTAGAGTGAAAACTGAACAGACGACAATATGGGATGGTCCCTCTGACTGTATCCCCCCCCCCACCACCAAAATGATACTGTTGCCACATGTGAGTCAGCTGGGGCTCAGTGATGTAGAAGGGGTGGGAGACTGCTTAGGGGTCCTGAAGCAGCAGAAATAATC